TAATGTTAAGATTAATCAAGTAGTTGGAAGTTCATGACCAAACTTCAGCACACCTACCCATTTTTCTTCCTGCCAAAGATCTCTTTGCAATAATAGAAATTATATTTTGAAAAGAATGAAATCAAAACTACATTGGAAAATAGAACCTCATTTTGAAAAATTCTATAAAAAAAAAGAAAGCAGATGGAGTGATGGAAAATAAAAAAATGAGAGAAACACAATCAAAGGGATCACGGGTGAGCATCATGTTCTAGAGAAGAACCAAGAGAAGCTGTAAAAAGAGCCTGGTAATAAGAAGAGTGGCATCTACAAACAGGCCAGATGGAGGACAATCATCAGGGAAATCAATTAACAACTGCGTTCGAAATACTTACTCTCTGTATATTTAGAGAGGCTTCCATTTGTGGCTTTGCCATAGTCCTAATGGCTGTTTTCTGTACAGGTGTGGCACTTCCCAAACTGCCAGGGATGAGCTCCTGGAGTGGGGAACTGAAAGCAGCATGGTGGATCATCAGGTAGCTTTGAAACCTCTCCAGCTAATGCACATGAACAGGTACATGCACATGAGTGTGCACACAACCCACCCACATACACCACACGCACTGACCAAAACGGAACAATTTCTGAGTTTTGAGTTGTCACACCCAGAATTGTGGAAATTCTCCACCAGCTAGCTTTTTTCTCTGCTTTGGGCCACATGTTATTCCCATTCATACAACAAGTAGCCAATCATTATGTTAGAGAAGTTGTCTATTTGAAGGTGGGGTAGAGAGATACTTACATAAACACAGAGAAAAACCATATCAATTGCTTTATCTAATAAACTAGAACTTTATTCATAAATCCACGGACATCAGGCTTTTAGGAAAAACAGGATGAAGAGAAGCACAAAGATGAAAATCTATAACAAAAGATCACAGATGAAACAGAGATAATGCTGAGCACAAGGCTGAGATTTCAAAAGATACCACTTCCCCAAAACAAAAAATTCACACAGAATGAGAAACACTCTTGAGAATTAAACAATGATTGCCAAAATACAAAATTTAGTGGATAGGATAAAATGGGATGAGCATGACTAAAATCAAAACAGGTTATCTGGAAGACAAAGTTGACAAAAGCTCCCAGCAAGAATAATAAAATTCAGAGATGAAAAACACAAGGTATTTTTAAGTTATTATATTTTAATATATACTTAACAAATCTTAATAAAGTTCTATAAGAAGAAGACACAATTATACATGTTAATAGGAGAAATTCTTCCCAAATAGTAGGAAATTCAGGTCCTTAGGAGCCCCTGAAGGTGAACCGAGTACTAAGAAGAATCCATGGGGAAAAGTATAGAAATATCATTTTAACTTCAAAATTTCAATGGAAGAGAAAGATGCTTAAAAGCTTCTCACAGGAGATAATTTGTTTTCAAGAGAAAGGAGAATAATTGTCTCAGCAACTCTGGATGCTAGAAGACAATGAAGAAATGACTTAAAATTACAGCAAAAAAATGAAAGTTTATAACTCTGAATTATACTTCATATTATCTATTACATATTATCTAAAAATTTACACTTTGAACACATAAAACCCCAGAACATTGCATATACTCGGTGTGAGAAAATTGCCTAGCAGGTACTCAGGATAGAAGACAAGAGAAGAGAGGGTGAATGAGTCAGTCACAGAGAGCAGTGGCCAAATTTGATGGGGAGAAAGTTTAGAGGAAGTGGCCCTCGAATTCTTGAAGTCCTACTTTTCATTGTTATTGCTGACAATGCAAGAATTACTGATAATAAAAATATTTTCTTTAACTCTACATCAGTAACAATCAATGGAACTGAAAAGAAGTCATTTTACTAGTGATAACTCTGGGAAGTGATTCTAGGGACAGGAGAAGTTGATGAGAGTTTTGCTTTTCTATCCTGAATTGCTTGAAATTTCTTTTCAGTTTTTGAGTGTATCATTTTATAATGATAACAACGATAAAAATAACTAGTTTCAAAAAGAGTAAATCTCATGTCTTTGACATTGGGTCAAGGAAAGCACATAAAACAATTTTAACAGTTCTATCTTTTTAAAATTTTATAGATGCTTCAGATTTTTTTTTTAACCAATTGAAACAGATCAAAGCAAATAGGAAGAAGAGGCTTTATTAGGAATCGGGAATGGATGATTGGCAAGGGTGCTGGAGATGGAGGCAATTATTCTAGGATAGGAGGATTTGGGAACAAAATAGATTGTAACCAGACATTGGATGGTCTGCAGATAGTGTCATTGCTCAGGGCCCCATGCTCAGAAGAATCCCGTTTGGGTTTTAGTGCTCTGCAGCTGTAGCTAAGAAATATTTAATAATTTTATCCTTGCAACTGAGTTTTATAGATGAGGCCCAGTGGAAAAATAAAGCATGCACTGGAGTCTTTAATTCTTGTAGCCTTGCAGTTCAGGGACTGCTGCTGCTGTACCCTGGGTTACATTGGTAGGAAACGTTTGCATTCTGCCCATGCCCTCTGCCTCTGGAAGTGACTTATATGTTGATACAGGGAAGGAAAGGGTTAGGCAATTGCCTCGCCGAGTCTCAGGAGTCTCAGGGTGAAATATGGCTTTCCCTTCTCCAGGCTAGCAGTACCATATGCAATCTGTATTCCTTAACCAGTTACTAAGTGCATCCCAACATGGATGTCATGTGTGTTGGGCTATACCTGTGTGGTGGGGCCACAGAAAGATAACACTGACTTCCCTGCTCCTAGCAAGGACCACAAATTTTATAGCCATCCCCAGAAGGAAGCTTTAAGGAGAGTGATGGCCAAGACATCCTTGGGTACTATCCCAGTGTGTATTGGGGTCATAATTTTGTCTCCTGACTGCCAGGAGATGATGGCATGTCAGGAATTCTTGTCCTGCTTCATGCTATCACCCTGGCAAAACCACAGACACTCCCTACCTCCATGTCTCTTCCTTCTCAGTAATATTGTCTTTTCCCAGAATAGTGACATGCCGCTGCAAGCTTCACAGTCTTCCATCTGCCTCGGTTGCCAATCTCAATTCCAAATCTCTCCATGATTTTCCTCCTGCCTAGGTCACCTCCTTTGACATTTTTATTTCCATATGCATTTTGCCTTTTGTCCTAGTTGACTCTAATTGGTGCTTTTTCTCTCTTATTTCCATCATTTTATTCTTTGTACTTGAAACTTTCTCATTCATAATCCAGTGGTAAAAACATAATTTCTTAAGAGATCTGAAACTAGATGGGATTTTACATTCTTACTAATATTTATTCTCTCCAAAGCCATTTTTCTATTTTAGAAATAGCACCTTCCAACATATCATGATTTGTTCTTTGAGGTTATGTGGAATACCTTTCTAAATCAAAATATAGATTCTCTGAAATTTGAAAGTTCTTCCTTTGAATGAATCATATTCTTGTTTAATATCATTTAGATTTTATTTGAAATAATTTCTAAGTATCTACCTTTTAGAAGTTCCAATAATGGGGATTGGTAACTTATACAGAAGACTCTCAGAATGTTTTCAGGAGGGATGCTTCTATTTATTCAAAACATCAGTTAAAGAGGGCTGAGGATGCAGATTAGCATAGAGCATTTGCGTATTGCATGTGTGACTCTGGGTTGGATTTTTTGCATCACAAAATAAGTATATAAATAATACATAAAATATATGCTTGCTTTTAAACTGTGCTAATGGATTGAACTATATCTCCCTCAGTTTTATGCATTGAAGCCCTAACTCTGAATGTGATAATTTGGAGATGGGGCCTTTACAAGGTAATTAAGTTAGGTTTGTTATGAGTGTGGTGAGGTGTCAAGAGAGAATTAGTGAACTTAAAAGAGGAGGAGAAAGAGGTCCTCTTGCTACATGCATGCATGAAGGAAGGCCATGTGAGAACGTCAAGGTGGCTGTCAACAAATCAAGAAAAGAGCCCTCACCAAAAGCTAAGTCTGTTGGCAGCTTGATTTTGGATGTGCCAACTTCCAGAACTGTGAGAGGTTTAAGCCATGCTATCTACGGCATTTTGTTATGGTGTCCCGAACTAAGACAAATTGCAAGTAAATTTGATCCGTCTTATTTTTCATTTTGATATTTATCTGATGATTAGGCATATTTCTTATAAAATTAATGCTAATGTTTCAAGTATAACTACTAATGTTTCTTTTTTTCTTCCATACTGCTCACACAACCATTGGAATGACTCAGATTTCCTACTCTAGAAAATTACAGTAGCAAACAGCAAAGAGAGGAATGGCAATGAAGGCGAACTGGAAGGAAGAGAATATTTGAAATCTTTACCAGGCCATTTTGGCCTCCTAAGAGAGAGTTTGAAGAACACTGCAATAAACTTAAAAGCATGTCTGGCTTCCATATTCCTTGATAAATATTAGTTGAGAGGTCAAGCAATGCCATAAATAGACTCATGGTAAAGGCATAAAGAAGAAATACAAGGACACTATTTACTGTACCCTCTCTGTGTCAGGTGTGGTACTAAATGATTTACATATTTTATTTTATCTTCACAATCTCTCTGGAAAGTGGATATTATTATCCTAATTATATAAAGGGAACTAGGGCCTAAAAACATTAATATTCCATAGTCTGACAATTTAAGAATGATAGAGCTCAAAGTCTCTCTGATTGTGTGATGTTCCACTGTATCACTCTGAGAATTCTGTTCTTCCTCATTTATATTTACTTTGTTTTCCTTAAAAACTCAGTGGACAAATACTCAACCTTAATTTTAATGAGACAGCCAGCTGCCTGACCTGTAAGAACTTTACCTTTTCTCTTAGGAGTCATCCTAACATAAAGGCCTGCCAGTCTAAGAAGGGTCAGTAATCTCCTTCCTCTTGAATTATCATGACTCATCCAGTTTGTTTTTGGATGTAGGTTAGAGCCAAAATCCTCCCTTGTTATTCATTGCCTTGTTTCAATAAAGACAGAGTTGGTTAATGTATTACTGGGAAGATCCCCAGGGGTCACATTCTGGCATGTTAAAAAAAAAAAAACTGGATTTGTTTATCAATGTATAACCAGCTGTGTGGGAGATGTCTTCTCTGCCACCCCTGGCCTTTTCCTGGTGAGTTTGCTCATTGGAGAGTGGGGGGAATAATGAGAAAGAAGACACACATTGGAGGGTTTAGTTCTTCAAAAAGAAAAGTCATTCTAGGACCTACTTTCTTAATTCCGACCTTCATAACACTAATTTTAAAACTCTCAATTTAAGAGATTATGGATAAAAACTGAACCAAAACCAAGGTGAGACAGAAAATTGCGAGCCACAACAACTGCTGGGACAGTTTTTCTTCTTCATAGTATTCCCTAACCTCTTAGTTTAATAAACCCCATGGTCCTAGAATTCAGAAGGAGCAAGAGGGAAGAAAGAGAACCTAACACTACTAACTACGCTGTGCAGTGTTTGGGCACACTACTTCAAATGCTTACTCAAAAATATGTTCCTAGACTTTTCTTTAAAAATTTCTTGCAACTCTCTGTTCTAGTATTTTTCATTTTCATTATTTTCTTCTCCAAGTTTTAAGATTTTACTCAAAATATTTATGCAATGGTTATTACATAGAACACTTTAATCCCATGTATAAAATGATCAAAAGCAAATAAAGATCATATTATGGATATTCTTTTGAGTATTTTGACACTATGCTGCCTCTGTAGTATAATGACCATGTTTAGTTTAGAGAAAAGGGAAGATTTCAACCTTCCCTTTTCAGGTTGGGAATAATTAAAATGGCCCCTGGACTGTTTCACTCTGACTTTTCCTGTGCCTCCATTATGTCAGTCTTTTTGCTAAGGCCTTTGTAACAAAGTACCACAGACTCGGGGGCTTAAACAAAGGAAATCTATTCTCTCACAGTTCTGGAGGCCAGAAGTCCAAGATCAAGATGTCAGCAAGGTTGATTTGTTGTGAGGCCTTTGTCTTTGGTTTGTTCATGACCATCTTCTCCCTGTGTCTTCACATGATCTATTTCCTGTGTGTTTCAGTGCTAATCTCCTCTTCTTATAAGGACACCAGTCACATAATATTAGGTCTACCCTAGTACCTTCATTTTACCTTAATGAACTCTTTAAAAACTTTATCTCCAAATCCAGTAACATTCTGAAGTACTAAGGGTTAGGATTTCAACAAATGAATTCTGGGCATTACACAGTTATGTTTACCCCTTAACACTCCCCAAAGTCTCTTTGGAAACCAGCAGTCAGACTGATCTTTTCTGAATACAAGTAAGATTAGCTGACTTCTCAGTTCATGCTGTCTTCTTGCATGTTCCCATCCACCACCTTCATCAGTGTCTAGAATAGGAGGAGCACTAAATTTATGTTACAAAGATGAATGGACATTTGTGTGCTTTTGAAACTTCAAACTGGTGCAAGATATATTTCATAAAATGTAGCTCTGTTGACTTTTTCTGTATCATGCGGGTTAAATGGTTTTCCAAACTCCTGGTTTACATTGTTGATGTACATATATCTTGTATCTTTAATTACATGCTAAAGAGAATTTGAGAGGCACAGAAAGGTCTAAGATTAAAGAATTGACAACTATGTCCGTTGTGTCTGTGCAAGTTATTCTACATATTATGAGTAACATATCTCTCACAATCACATGTAATTGATGCAACATTCAATTCTAAATACCCATAAAAAGTGAAGTAGGCTTTCTATTTGATGCAATTCTCTTGATATCAGAGGAAATGTGCATCAAACTTTATATTCACAAAGTATAACTTAGTGCTTTTAACAGCAGGCTCAGTAATTAGTTGGGCAATTAAGGGACCATAAATTATAATTTTAACTCAGATAGACATCCTCTCTAGCACCTTGGGAAGTCCATTTACCATTACTTCCTCTATTTTCCCATCTATAAAATAAGTCTATAAATAGATTCTCCATAAACTTTCTGATGAAGTGAAGAATGATAGTTTTAGAAATGATAGAGACCTTGCAAGGTTATTTGGTTAAGCCCTCTGCTTTGAGGCACATTAATTTCAGAAGGATAGAAAGTCACCTTCTCTGTTTTATTCTTGAAGATTTTGAAGTGCTTCATGTGTTTTAATTTTTTTATACAATTTTACACGAAAAACATTACAAAGTGATTTCTAAGTATGATAAGGATGCATCATATAGGAAAATGAAATACTAGCTAATGTCTGCTGCAGAGGTGAACATATTTGTAGCTGCAGCTTGGTTGCATCTTGAATTCCAAGGTCAATCACGAACATATTTAAAGTAAGGTAACCCACTTTCATCAGATCTGTGAGTGCCTGCAGGTCCTGATTCAGGAAACTGTCCCCTGGCTTTCTCTCCACAGGTCTCACTGCAAGTTTGAATCTGAGCTTTAACATTCTTTTCACTTTGTGAAATCATAGTTTCTTTAAAATACTGGCTATGTTTTTGTTTCCTATTTTTGTTTTCTCTTTTTTTCTCCTCTCTCTCTTTATTTGCACCTTGTTGCTAACAAAACCATCAATCAAATCCTTTGTACATTTTTATAGTTCTGCATTTCTGTGATCCTAGAGGGATTTTATTTCTAAAATATTTACAGTTGGGCCACACTTATTTATCTTATCTTTTTTTGGGAAAAAATAGCATATCCTTTCCTTACATATACAGTTTCCTATTGCACTCTACCCCTGGGAGCTTGATGCTGTCTAAGCTCATAATATTTGAGTGATAGTGCATTTTAGAGCGGTGTCACCCAGGTGGCATATAAAAGTGGTTCCCAATGGGGACCTAGGAGGAAGAAGGCTACCAATCTTATTGTCTCAGAATTTCATGCACTGAATAAAGAGCTGTTCCATCACTGGTCATAATGGTTTGGAATACTCTCAAGATCAATGTCAAGACCATTGCAGTAAGGGAAAGAGAGACTGAGGTCAATTCAAAATGCAATAAAATCAAGTGGAAATTTATAGCCCAGGAACAGGTTGGGAGAAAGAGAGAGTGAGGGATGGAAAAATACTAAGAGGAGATGTCAGGTACAGGAGAATTCTTGCTATGGGCCTAATAGGATTCTTGCTAAAGGCAGGCTGGGTAATTCGATTTTAAGGGTAGATGATGGGATATGCAGAATATGGCCAGATAATAAGAGGGATTGGTAACAGTCATGAGGGATTAATTCTAGTTAGCTTCATATGTTTCCTGCTAAAATTGTCCTCTGTAGGCCTGGCAAGGTTGGGGGAAAAGGCTGAGACTTGGTTGGGAAAGGACTTAGGAGCCTAAGGTTGCAGAGAGGGCTATTGTCAGAATGTCAGTTGGAGCTTTGGACAAGTTGGATGATTTTGATGCTGATCAATGACCTAGTTTGTGCAAAACTGGCTCAAATATTTTCCTTAATTCTCTGAAAATCTCAGCAGGTTTCAATTTTGTCATTCTCTAACTCGTTGGTTCTCAACTGGAGCTACCCACTGGAAATGGGTACTTTTAAACCATAGATAATTCATGGGTGCCCTCACCACCACAGACTCATCAGGGGCTCTTTGTGAATGGACTTTAGGTGCTGGTGTTTTTAAAGCTTTCTAGGTAATCTGTGTGCCGCCAAGGTTGAGAATTATGGCTGTAACTGAATAGTACAAAGTTCAGTAATGCCCTTTCCCTCTCCCAGAAATATAACTATTTCTATACTTACGTTTGGGTAAATTCTTGAAGTTTTTCTACCCTTGGCTAAGCAACCACAATTCTTTAAAAATTTTCTCATAGGAAATATTTTCCACATTTTTGCCATTCATCATATCCTGTTTAATCTGGATACCCTTCATCAACAAAGATCTGACTAATTTCTTGTTCTTTTCTTTCTTTGTTATTTTTTTTTCTGTTGACTTATTTCTGATACATTGAAATTAAATATTTCCCGATCCTTGCATGACTTCTTCAACTAGATGAGTAGTCCAAGTTCAAGTTACTATTTCTAAATCATCTTTGTATCCAATTGCCTCTTATCTTAAAAGGAGTCGTATGAGTAAGAGAGAGTGAGGAATTTGAGTGTTAAGTGCTGGTGCAATCTTCCATTGTTGGGTGAGGCAGAAAGTTCGTCTGGTGAACTTGTACCATGGAAAATTACTTCTGTAGAAGCTGTCAACCTGGCTGTGATAATGTTGTCATCTGGTCATAAAAACAATTCTAAGAGCTATACTTTTATTCTTGCTCTAAATACTTCACACTACCAGCAAACCACCTTCTTAGGGGATTTTAAAGCTTTTCACAGATCTTTTCCTCTTCCTCTTTCACTGTAAAAGTTTTGAAACAGATTATTATTAATTATTATTATTATTTTTTCTGCCATAGCTCCCAGGCAGCAATAGGAACAGAAATATAAACATAAATAAAATTACACCTTATACGGCTTAACTCGGCCTACTACGATCTAGAGCAATCATTCTTAATCCTAAGAATTTCAGAAGTATTTTGAGTAAAGATCAATAAAGTCCTCCAATCTTGAGGAGGATGGCATCCTGTTAAGATGAAATATTTGTAAGATAAAAAAACTTTAAACTTAGAAGAAAGTGAAAAACTAGGTGTTATGTATTTTGGGGGGTAATTTTATAGATACCTAATCAGATCTTCAACAAGAAGATTACATCATTTTTAAAATTTAGGGTGTTTTAAAGACTAGATTAGAATTTTAAAGAGAATGAATAACCATAAGTTTTTGGTAAACACTGACTGTGATGAAAATAGCTGGAATGGGTGCCTCTAGCAGTTTTAAAAAGATTGTCTTAATCCTCAGTGCAAAGGGCTAAGAATTTTGGAATCACTACAGAAAACAGCATGGAAGTGTTACATGTGTGAAAGTATCTTGAATATATGAGATAATTTCAAAGACAGATGCGTATTTGATATAGAAGAATTAGACTTCTCATAAAGCAGTGGAACTGTTAGGATTCCATAAACATTAAAGTTTGTTGCCTTTTTTTCTTCATAGATTCATAGATTTGAAATAAGCTCTGCTTTCTTTTTCTGCTTGCACATTGACATCAGAAGCTGTCATGCCTGCATTACTTAGATTATAAACAAGAATCATAGTCTGAGGTCAGGCACTTTGCACAGGCTCTTTAGAAGTAACTC